TTAGCGTGGCTTTTCAAAAACTCTTGCAGTTGTTTGAAATAGAGGGCACATTTTTTGTAGTTGTTAATCCTCAGTGGAGGGTATTTTTCCATTGATGTTTAGAGAGAGTAGAAGGGAGGGGCAGAAACAGAGAGAGAAACATCAATGAGAGAGAGAGTAACATTGATGGGTTGCTTCTGTACACCTCATGACCTGGGCTGGGGATCAAGCCTGCGACCGAGGTACATGCTCTTGACCAGAATTGAACCTGTGACCTTCAGTCCACAGGCTGACACTCTAACCACTAAGCCAAATCAGCTAGGGTGAGGGCACATATATATATATTTTTTAAAGCATGTCATTTGTTTGGGAGGTTTTTGTACATTTGAATATTGGTGGTGTGATTTTGTGGAGGAGGTTTGTACTATCCCCTACAAAACAGAGAGAGGTTATAAAAGTGGCCTAGCTTTTGCACATGGTCCTTTTTGTTCACCTCCCCTCCTGTCTCGTGCCATGGCTTGGTTCCGAGTTACCCAGGCGGAGCCGCCTGGGTTCACTGGGCCATTCTGCCCTCACCTCTCCCGGGGGAGGTGTGGGTCGCAGACATTGTTTGATCCACAGACCACGCTGCAGTGGTGGTGACGTCGGTGACGAGCTAAAAGAGAATTTTGACAAGAATAACAGGGTGAACTTCCAGAATGACAGGAGTGTTAGCAGAGGCTGGTTCTACAACTGTTTTCAGCAGCTTGCAAAATGTGTGTGGGGCCACCCACACTTCCTTCCTCTCCTGCAGCCACGCCCGCCTGCACACAGCCTGCTTCTGCTCCCCTCCCTGGGAGCACAGCAGCGTGTTCTTGCAACACGCACTAGTACCTCTTCCTCAGATGTTGTGAACACGCTCGACTCCTTGGGCCGCCCCATTTAGGTCCAGGCTGGTTTCATGCATGTGTGAGCGTATGCCAAACGAGAAGGCTGCTTTAGGACGGCCGAACTCAGTGCTTTTCCTACTTTGGAAGATGCCATCTTAGCTCTGTAATCATTATAAATATTGGTTTATAATGCTTGGCGCATGCGAAAATGTGCATCATCTAGAAGAAAAATCAACTCTTTATGTGCGGCATCTTAGTGTTGTAAGGAAGCATGGGTTTGAAGGACATGTACTCAAACCCAAAGGGAGGTCATGCAACCTGAGATTATACTCGGAGTTTCCGCCGCTGTTGTGCTTTTCTGTAATTTCCAAATTGTCTAAAGCGAACTTGTGTTAGTTTGGGAGGAGAAACACTTAAAAAATGAATACAGCTCCCCCTCTGGGTCCGGGTGCCCACACTCAAGGGTATTCCATTTTATTTAAAAAGATTTGTCTGAACGTATAGTAGATCTAGAAAATAATTTGGAAGGCCGTTTACCAGAACGTTAACAGGTTATATGCTGAGATAGTCCTTTCATACTTGAAACAAAAATACTAAAAGGAAAATGATAAGGCAGGAGAAAAAGCAGGAAACAGCTTATGAAGTTCTGTACAGTATGGTCACATCTTTGTAAAACAAAAAAAGAAGTTGCACATGAATCTTTGCAGAAAGACCTCCAAGATATTAACAGTGCTGATCTTCAGTGGTAGGACTGTGGATACCCTCTTTATTTCCTGCTTTCTAGTCTGTATTTTTTGAGATTTTTTTTCCTGTAAGAATATATTACTTTGATGGGGAAAAAAATGTAAAGAAATAGTCCTTTTTTGAAGGATAGATTTGATAGAAAGTCATCTTAGTCTCAATTTAAAAGCAAGTGCTTAGATTTTGTGCGATGTTCTACTGAAAAATCATCAGACTTTGATGCTCAACTAGAGACATTATTTCCTTTTATCAGTCGTACAGCACCCATTTTCAATTTCATACATGCTAGGAAAATGAACAGCAGGGTTTTTATGAAAGCCACAGAGATAATAGCTCAGTAAACTCGTTCTCTTGAAGTAGAAGGGAAGACTGAAAGTGTCTACTTGGGTGAGGGAGAACGCAGTCATCAGAACAGTGATGGTGATGGTGCCTAATGCATACTTGCTCTACGCTAGCCTTTATCTAAACACTTTACCTACATTAATTCAGGTAATCCCTAGCACAACCCATGTTCTGTTTTCACACTATAGTTTCTAATGAGGAAACTGACCACACATAAGAGATCAGGGTTTGCCCAGGTCCCCTGGCTAGCTAGTGATCGGCAAGCAGGGATTCCAGTCCCATCGTTGGCCTCCAGAACCAGTGCCAACTTCACTGGACCATCACAGTGCCTCGCCATAGAGACTGGGTGAAACAAAGGCTACTGAAAGAGAGAAGCAGGCACAGGGGGTGGGAGGAGCTACTGTATCCCACTTGGAGCTGAAGGACCGGGTGCATCCCAGGGGTCACCTGGCATTGGATGGCAGGCCTGTGTGCCCTTGACTTTGCTGGCCCCTCTTTGCGCTATAGAACCATCTCCATCTCTCTCCATTCCCTCGTTCCCAGCAATACACTTGTTTTCACACCCACCTTTCCTTCTCCTTTCACCTTTCCTGCCTACTTTCCCCCAAGCTCCTGTGAACTTGAATTCATGATTACGGACACGCACCCATCGTGTATTGCATAAATTGCCTCTGTATTATGACTGCTTAGACCTCTCAGTTAGTTGTGTGATACTGAGTGTCCTGGAAAGGCCTGCGAGGCTTCCTCCAGTCACTCCTCCCTCACTGTGCCATGAGCGTGATGTCAGCGAGCTGCTCACATAATCTGAGTCCATAGTGATAGTTTCTTCTTTACCATCAGGTAGAAAGCTTCTGGGTGCAAAGGTTTGGTGTGCTCCCTGGTGGTGGCATTGCATGGACTTCTGCTGGCTTGCTGGAGGACCGGGTGGGAAAGGTTGCCCTCCTGAATTACTGAAATGAGAGTTTCTGAGCCTGGAGGGGCTTCTGCAGGCAGGTTGGGCTTGGGTGCCAGGCTCAGTGTGTTGGAGCCCTGGACTGCCCACCCTTGAGCCCACCTCGAGCCCCACTGTGCCCACCCTTGGGCTCTCAGTGAGGAGTCTGACGTACGGATTTGGTGCCTGCTGCCAGGAGGCATTTAGAAAACGGCCAGTTTAGTGTTGTTCAGTATTATCATTTCCTCCTCCTTCCGGGGGAGCAGTCTTTCTGACTGTCTACCTGGAACCATCTGTAGGTCTCCGTTCACTGTGCAATTCCTGTTGACTACAAAGATTCCTGGAACCGGTGCAGTTCACAGCGGGGAGAAGGATAATGGGAGACGGGTCACTAAAGACAAGTATGCCATTTTTATATGGTTGGGTCCAGCCTTAGGGCATATAATTTGACTTGAAGCAAATTTAAAACAAATGGAACTAAACTAAACTATTTTTCTGTGTTTTCTTTTAGGAGAAAAAAGCAACTAACAAAACACAGAAATAAGGAGGATTATTCAATATGCAGTTTGCTGGGTATGTCTCGGAGCCAGTAGAAAGTCACCTTTGCTTTATGTAACCCACGTCTTAACAGTGGGCATTGGTGTTTACAGTGGTTCAAGCACTGCAAGATCCTCAGAGGTCAAAAAAGATCTAGTTTTGACCTCTAATCTCACCATCAAGTGACTCAAAAGACACTTGATGGTGAGATTAGACAGAGGAACAGAGGACTAATACTTTAAGAGATGCACACTAACAAGGATATTTTTCCTCCCAATCTTCAGATAATTACGATGTCCTATTTTTAGGTACACAATAGACACTGAAAAAGGGATATGTGTACAAAGAAAGTAAATTATTTGATAGTGAGAGGGATGAATCCTTTTACCACAGGGCAGTCTGTCTTTACAAAGAGATCCCGTAAGATTCGTTCCGATGAACTTGCTAGTAGATTAAAAATTATTTCCTAGGGCCCTTTTGCTGGCACAGTTTTGGGAAGAGAAATGTCATAGTGTTAATCTTGATTACCTCTGGGTATCCCCAAAAAAGACTTTTTTTCCTTACTCTTTATTCATTTACTACTTTTGTAATAAAAATTTCAACTAATTAAGTTAAAATTTAATTTAAACAAACAGATTTACTTATAAAATGTGATTTATATATCTACTTGCCAGGAATTGCATCTAAACTAAAGTGATAGATGAAAAAAATATGTATTATATAACTTGAGGCATCCTGAAGAAGTTTGTTTTGAAAACTGAAGTTGTATTTGCAATAGTAACATCGATTGGGTAGAATTTTAAGAATAATTACTGCCTTGCCGAAACTGGTTTGGCTCAGTGGATAGAGCGCCAGCCTGCGTACTGAAAGGTCCCGGGTTCGATTCTGATCAGGGTCATGAACCTTTTTGCGGGCACATCCCCGGTGGGGGGTGTGCAGGAGGCGGCTGATCGATGATTCTCTCTCATTGATGTTTCTGACTCTCTATCCCTCTCTCTTCCTCTCTGTAAAAAATCAATAATAAAAAGAAGAATACTTACTGGCCTTATAATTAATTGAATTTAAAGATTTAAAGATACTTTTCTGACTTCTGGAGTTAGCTTAGGGTTCTATTTTTGAAAAATATGCTTGAATTAAACTTTTTTGGGGGGAACTACTGTTCAGAAACATTTCGCATGTTTTGACTTATATATATATATATATATATATATATATATATATGGGTAGTCATAGATATGTGACTCATATCATTTCCATTTGCATGGGAGATTGACATTATGCCTCTTTTATAGTTGACATTTTAACTCCTAAGATATTATCTTAAATATAACATTGTTTAGAGTAGTCCAATGTTTATAAAGGGTTTGGACTTTGAAATGAAAATTGGGTTTCCACGTATTTACTTCAAGCTTCTCTCTTAAAAAAATTTTTTTAAATGAAATTATAAAAGGAAACATTATAGAAACTTAATTTTGTTTCTCCTTTTATTTTGTAGATGCCCAGGGCAACACTGAAAATGAATTCCTTATCTTCACCAGATCTTCTTCTCTGAGAAGACACGTTCCCAGCGGTCTGAGCAGTGCTTCCTCTGTGGGACCAGCATGGCGGGGTTCAAGCGGGGGTACGACGGGAAGATTGCGGGGCTGTACGATCTGGATAAGACCCTGGGCCGCGGTCACTTTGCGGTGGTCAAGCTGGCCAGGCACGTCTTCACAGGCGAGAAGGTGGCCGTGAAGGTTATTGACAAGACAAAGCTGGACACGCTAGCCACTGGCCACCTCTTCCAAGAAGTGAGGTGCATGAAACTGGTGCAGCATCCCAACATCGTGCGCCTCTACGAAGTGATCGACACCCAGACCAAACTGTATCTCATCCTGGAACTTGGGGACGGAGGAGATATGTTCGATTACATAATGAAACACGAGGAGGGCCTGAACGAAGACTTGGCCAAGAAGTACTTTGCTCAGATAGTTCATGCTATATCTTATTGCCATAAACTGCACGTGGTTCACAGGGACTTGAAACCCGAGAATGTGGTCTTCTTTGAAAAGCAAGGTCTTGTGAAGCTGACGGACTTTGGTTTCAGCAACAAGTTTCAGCCAGGGAAAAAGCTCACCACCAGCTGTGGGTCTCTCGCGTATTCTGCTCCAGAGATCCTGCTTGGGGATGAGTATGATGCACCTGCCGTAGGTAGGTCACCTGCCAACATCTGCTCACTTGAATTTTAGTGGCCATAGGCCGGGGGGTCAGGTCAGTTGTTTTGTGTGTATATGTGTGTGTGTGTGTGTGTGTGTGTGTGTGTGTGTGTGTTTAATCAAAAAATAATTTCTAAGATAATTTCTATTAAAATACATCTTCATGAACAGATTGAGTTTTATGAATGCTATAGAGCCCTAAAGTTGGCCGTTAGTTTATTTTACCTTTTAAATGTCAAATGTTCATAAGGTATTTTTTTGTCAGAACAAAGGAAAACGTGTAAGGTATCATTTAAGGTAATCTCTTATCTGGTTATTATAATTATTTTTAAAGGTCTGGGTGCTTTTCCAATCTTCTTAGGTTCGTCTAGTCCAGTGGTTGGCAAACTCATTAGTCAATAGAGCCAACTATCAACAGTACAACAATTGAAAATTCTTTTTTTTTTTTTTTTAAATATATTTTATTGATTTTTTACAGAGAGGAAGAGAGAGGGATAGAGAGTTAGAAACATTGATGAGAGAGAATCATCGATCAGCTGCCTCTTGCACATCCCCTACTGGGGATGTGCCCGCAACCAAGGTACATGCCCTTGACTGGAATTGAACCCAGGACCTTTCAGTCTGCAGTCTGAAGCTCTATCCATTGAGCCAAACCGGTTTCCGCAGAAATTTCTTTTGAGAGCCAGATTTTTTAAGCTTAAACAATATAGGTAGGTACATTGTTATTAACTTAATTAGGTACTCCTAAAAACTCCAGGGGCCAAAGAGCCATATGTGGCTCGGTTTGCCGACCACTGTTCTAGTCATTTCCTTTCTGGGAATCCCTTTAACAGTCACTGAGACCCGTGTTGTAAAGGTACCACGAAGATTACAGTACAATTCGAGGATTTGGTCATTGGAACCATTTATTGATTGTGACCCTGGACAGTGTACTTGCTCTCTCATTTCTTCATCTATAAGACAGAGGTCAGCTACGGGCGTCATGGTATCATGTACAACAAGGCACGGCTTACAAGTTAGACTCTGTGCTCTGGAAAGGAAAGGGCTGAGGAATGATTTCCGGAAGGCAGGTATTCCACTGTAGATGTTCCTGGGGTGTGTAGGGTTGTTTTACTTCATATTTAGTAATTATGGTCTGGGAATGAAAGTCGCTATGATAGAAACACACTGTACGTTTTCAGTGTTCACCTGCATGCTAACAAAGATCAGTCTTACACTGTAATTTTAGGAATAAAAGCAATTTTAAAATCAGGTAATTAGCTAAAAATGATCCTGTGTCCGCTGAGGTGAGAGCAGTTAGCCTTCCCCATGTTCAAAACATGCACTTGTGTTTGTTTCGGAGAATGGTTCTTCACTTTCCCTGGTTCAGTGATGCCTTAAGTTTTGGTGAACACATCTTAGAATTGTGTGCTTAAGCATCTCTAATTACTTCTTCTCTGGATCAATTTACTACTCATGAAGGACCTCTCAGAATCTAGCGTGAATTTAAAAATGACTATCGGGTCTATCCGAAGAGAGGTGCTTGCTGTGAAGAAGAAGATTAGTAAAACGTAAGCCGAGACATTCTGGACTATTGATTTCTATGCAGCTTATGGTTTGTATGTGAGTTTTGAGAAACCTTGACATATTCAGGCCGAGAGATGGTTAGACTAGAAGCCACGTTTAATGCACTGAGGTAGTTACTCCTCGCTCTGCTCTAGCCCTCGGATAAAATATCTCACACGCCCTCCTGAAGGGTCTTCTAGAATAGAGGTTGCCAATCAGCGGTCTGCGGACACTGGTGGTCGGTGAGGTCCGAAAGCTTGGCGACCGCTGCCCTAGAGGATCTAGAAATGGGTGGCCCCAGAAGACCTGATTGCAGCAACACATGGAGAATCTGTTCACATATTTAAATACTTCCCCTGAGGATTTTGTAGAGGATTACTCCTTCCCATACAGATAGTACAGCCTAAGCCACGATACCTTTGGGATCGAACTTGGACGTAGGCCTAAAGGACTGGAAATTTCCTCTAGTTTCTGTACATCTGCTTTTATAATTTATGTCAAGGGTTGGTTGCTTTAATTCAGCTTTATTCCAGGAAAGCTGTGCGTGCACTTGCTTTCCCAGGGCCCCCCAAGCGTGGACAGTTTCACTTCCCACCTCAGCAACCGCCCCTGGAGGCACATGTCCTACTGTGGGCCAGCGTTTCCTGACCTGGTTCCAGTTTAGATTAGTGACTCTTCCACTGCTGTGCTGGACACATGGGCCTCATGGGTTCCGATTGGGAGACCTTAGGCGGTGGCACGGTTTTAGTTCCGAGCGTGGAGATTGGGATCATACGTTTTGAGGGAAGATTTGTGCCTCTTCTCCGCCGAGGGAAGGAAGTTGGTCTGTTCAATTGAACATAGTCCCTTGTTTATTTCTTTTGAAGTAAACATAAAGCCTGCATTGTTCCTGCCCAGCAGAAGCTGCATGGCCATCTGGGTTCCGGCACAGTCACACACATGGCATTCATTCGTCAAGAACTGAAAAGCATGTCCATGCAAATGTGCCACACACGCTCCCAACCCAGCCACCGAGTGCAAGGCCACGTACTCTGAGAGATCCCTTTTACAAAGCGTATCATCATCATGAGTCATGCAAAGCCACGAGCATAAACAAAAACCCTCTCCTAAACTTTCTGAAGCTGCACATGCCTATGAGAAGTGACATTCATTTCCGAAATCAGAGTTCATTCATCTGGCACGAGCGCTCTGTAAATAAAAGCGCTTTATTCAGTGTTAGTTCTGCATTTACATTATGCAGGCCTGTCATGTGACTGTTGTATGATTGTATTTAGGAAGCAGGTAGGCAAGTTTCTGTGCCTTGGGTTTTATGATTAAGCTACTGTTGAATTTAGTGTATGTAGTAAAGGTTCTTGAGCATGAAATGTAATGGGTGAAATGTAATGGTACAGGCACCATAAAGATGGTTATTTCAGGCTAACGCAGTCATTGGTTTTTCAGTGATGGGCCTGGGAAAGGTGGTAGAAACAGTTTTGAGCGTTGCTGTTTTCCCTGCTGCTTGTTTAGTTTTGCTGCTGGGTGCTCTCCCTGTCATAAGCCCCGGTCAAGTGAAGCGGAGGTGGATGCTTCTTTGAAAAGTATAATTCACTCTGCTGTCCCGGTGGTACGGTAAGCTGGTAAACTTTAAACAGGCCGTTCTCAGCTCACCACCCGTCAATCTCACTAGGGAAGATGAAAACAAAACATCCCACCTTGCCTGGCCCCACCCTTAAAGATCCTGATTCCCATCACCTTGATGTGGCCACATCTAGAAGCTTCCCTGGGCTTCCGACGTGCGTCCAGCCCTACCTACCGTTGACTTGAACCCTAGATTCCCGTATTTTTAGTTACTAGTGGAAAAACAGAGTCCAGCATTTTAATTCTCAGGTTCTTTAAAGAGTAAGTGTTGGGGGGGGGGCAGGGCGGGAATATAACATCTAGCTTCAAAAAGGGCACAAGAACATATAGTTGTGTTTTGGTGCGGAAAGAAAGCTGTGCTCATCATTTTCCTTTCATCTGCCCTTCCATTCAGTCTGTTCACGCCACCCCTCTGTTCAGAACACTTTCAAGACCTCCCAATTCATCGGAACCAAAACGAGAGCCCTCCCGGTGCCCAGCATGGCCCTCAGAACTGGCATCCTGACTGATCCCTCCCACTGTCTCCCAGCTGCCTGCTCAGCTCCAGCCACTCCGCCTCCTGGCTGTTGGCCACAATCCACGGGCACCCCTGCCTCAGGCCCCTCCACTTCCCTCCCCTGGCCCAGGGCGCTCTTGCCCCCATACCACTTCCTGGTGGCCTCACCATCTGCGCTGTGGGTGGAGGGCCCCACCACTGCCTTCTCCTGCCTCACCTGCCTCTTTTCCCTGGCTTCCCCCGGTGAAATCGGGGTAACTGTAGGGCCTGCCTTAGGGTTGTCATGGGGTTAGGTGGATGCATAGGGCAGGTGAAGAGCGGAGCTTAGGCAGAGGTAGGCACAGCCTCGGTGATCAGCGGTGCGTCGCAGCGCCTCCTCTTGGAGGGGTCGCGGGATGACATGTTTCTTTGGTGCAGTGGCCGCTGTCCCGGAGCTGGTGCAAGGATCGGCCTGCTTCCTTCCGAGGTGCTCTCTTCTCCTTGGGACATCTGTCCTTGGGAGGAGCTCTGAAATGGCTGCCGTGGGAAACTGGGAGGGAGGGCAGGCCCGAGGCCTCTGCTCCCGTGTTTCTCTGCCCCACGGTTTTAGCTGTATTTAACTTTCCGAATGTCAGGTTATTTGTCTTTAGGGAGTAGGCACTTTTCTGAGTGTGTGTTAAATGTTAGATAGAATAAAACATGAAAGTCTTAGTATTTATTTGATAACTGGTTCGTTTCTTGGACCTTCAGAAGAGCTTTTCAGATCGCCCAGTCACTGTGTTAACACAGGAATCCATGTAGAAACCGAAGCCACGTGCTTCCACAGGAGAAGGAACCTTTAGCAGGTGGAAACGGCAAATCAGCTCGGGTATTTTTTAAAGCTTTTTGTGTGTTTCTGAGGGTGTGTGGGCGGGAGAGAAGAAACATAAACCTGCTGAAGAAAGTCTAGTTTGTAGAACAGAAAATCAGTAGTTGAGAACAAACTAACAATACACTTGGAATCCTGTTAGAATACAGATCGCACCCTAGCCAGTTTGGCTCAGTGGGTAGAGGGTTGGCCTATGTACTGAAGGGTCAGAGGTTCGATTTCCACCAGAGTGCACATACTTCTCTTGCAGGCTGGTCAGGGATCGTGTGGTGGGACAACCAATCGATGTGTCTTTCCCACATTGATGTTCGCTCTCTCCCCCTCCTCCCTCCCTTCCACTCTCTCCAACAATCAATAGGAAAATATCCTTAGGTGAGGATTAACAACAACAAAAAGAATACCCATCGCTGCGCAGACTCAGCTCCAGTTGGCCAGGCGGAGCTCATGTCATGTTTTTAAGAATTGCTGCACAACACGCCTACCTACTTAC